GTCAGTGTACAATAAAGGAATACACAGTAAATAGAGCTTCATCAAGTTACATATTATTTGTTGAGTTGGAAAGAAATGAATACGTAAAAATAAATACGTTGTTCTAGATGCAATTGCGGTATGAGCGTACAGAAGAACGCCGCAAATTGTTCAGAATAGCGGGTAAGAGGTATACCATGGCTGAAATTCCGCTATCGAGGTCGGGAAAGATTCTTCCGACGTTGTCGCCAGACTCAATATCTCGAAATTTCAAAACAGCTCATAGAGGTAACGTACAGTTTGGGAGCATAAATATGAAAAATAAACGATTGATGATCGAAAAAGATATCTTCTCGAATCGAAAAGATCGACTCAGAGGCGGATACTGTCCGATTGCGACGAGTAACAAGCCGAAGAACAGGACGATTTAATATAAAATGTATACGTTTTCCAGCAGAAAGTACGATAATAGTAATTAATTGAAATTCAAAATTTACGGCAAGCTTTTCTATGTAAGCATTAAATACACTACACATTTAAAAGTATATAATGTTTTATATTATGTCACCGAATTAATTAATAAAATTTTATTAATTGTTTCCTTCTCCTTTGTCGGCCTTGCCCTTGACTTAACACCGTATAATTACATTCGTGATATGATCTAATATTTCTCGAGAAAAATAACGCGAATTTGCGTGCGAGCGGATAAAACGTTCGCTAATGCGATAAAAAAGGGGAATGCGTGTTAGGGCGGCTTTTAGCATGCATACGTTAATGGCACGACAACGTTCGTTATTGCGAATATGCCGATGGCTGTTCAAGTTCCAGTAGACAGTACGTCGGGAGATCGTTACAAGTCACGGATCAGATCTTTTCCGAAGAATATTAAATCGAGTGTGTCGGACCTTTTCTCTTAATAATCTTGTCGCGCGTTATAAATCAGCGTGCGCTGTACATGTTGATTAAACATTTCTCAATTTCACCATGTCTGTTTTTCTGTATGTACTCGACACAATGAAATCGTTACCTTATCTAACCGAGACATGCAATACATGTTTTTCATTTTGCACGTATTAAAAACAATGTATATTTAATGTCTCTCGAGAAATATTGTGAACATTAGAAATTATCATCTGTGCCATACGGTATGCAAGTTGACTCAGCTCTGTCGATGGATCAGATGAGAATTCCTGGTATTTTAAGACTAGACAAAGCGTCACGTTCTTCTGGTTTTAGAACCACGCCTCGGACATCGGCGGCTATGCAGGTATTCCATTTCACTAAGAATTTTATTTTTATTTTTCGTTCACTCTTGGTTATTTCTGTTTTCAAAAACGGACAATACATTTTCAACTGTGTACTTTCTTTCTTTGATTTTATTACAACTGTGTGCGGATTCATATTTAAGTAAACCGATATTAAATCTTTCTAAATCTAAAAGAAGATACCAAGATGTAAGTAAAAAATAATAATAGATTCATATTTAAACCGATATTAAATCTTTCTAAATCTAAACGAAGATACCAAGATATAAGTAAACAACAATAACAGAATGAACATGGAGAATATTTTCCATAGTGAAGATGGTAAAGACGTAATCATTTCTTGAAGATATTATAACATTTGGAGATCAAAATTAAGCTTTTTATCCGCGATAATTTTTATTTTTATTTCTTACTTGGTTTTCTCTCTCTCTCTCTCTCTCTCTCTCTCTCTCTCTCTCTCATGTTCTTTCTCACGCACCGTTTTTTAAACAATTTCCTAAATTAGAGCGAGGACTAATTTACAATAAATCGATCGTCGAAGCTCGCGAGCATTAACGAAAATTACATCGGGCGATGCGCAGCATGGAAATGATTTTCGTGAGATCGCGTGTAGCACGGTATACACACGATAGTAATCATCCCCCTCGAGGAAAGTGATTACCTGCGAAGCAGAAGGGTGGAGTCGTACAAAGAACGAAGAATGCATGACGATGGCTATTAACGTGACCCCGACACTCTTTCGGTTCTTGCCATTTTCACAAATTGTGAATATTTCCTTTGGCATAAATAATTATCTAAAAGTGTAAGAATTTCCGACAACACAATTCTGATTACGTAAACTTAGGTATGAGTGAATAAACTTCCGTATTATTAATGACATTTGTTATATAATCAGAAGATTATTAAATTAAACCGAACAGGGTACGTTTGTCTTTATTAAAAATGAACTATTACTTGTATAATGATACAATGGTACAAAGTATCTATTCGTTCTAATAATAAAGTTCTTCTAAATTAAAACGTATATATTTTATAGGAAATAAGAGATGCAGTTACATTTTTTTTAAAGAACATTAAAGAGATTTTTGTCTATACTTAATTTCTACTGATAAAAAAATTAAATATTTATTATATAAATTTTTAAGTATTTTTGCTTTAGAAAAGAAGAAAGCGGTATTAGCTATTGAAGAAGTTACAAATTATTGGTTTATGTGGAACGGAATACTTATCTTTGAAGCTGTCGTCGGACTCGTTGATGCAAAATATGCCTCTTATTCAAGATATATGTATACGTGTTAAATAATATAAAATAAAAGTATCTGAAATAAGATGTACATTTTATAAGATTATGGTATATAAAGAATTGCGGTTTTTATTACATATGCATAAGTATCACAGACGCGTTGAACCTCATTGATCAATGTATATCTCGGGGTGTGTCGCACGTCGCGTGTGACCTCGAATTAAGGATGACCTATAGACACGTAAACGAAGCGATTCAAGTCGTATCAAAATGTAACTGAGAGAAAGAAAGGGGAGATCTAAATCGCTCAGGATCTGTGATTTGAAACTATAATGTTCGATAATATGTCGACAAACTCTCTACATTATAAATATAGAGAACTTTGATTGATATAAAAAAAAAGCGAATTGTGCAAGATTCACGGTTTGGAAAAAGTATCATATTTTCTAAAGAAAAGATAAACGAATTAAACACAATTCGAATAAGCTATTTATTTTATTCGTTCTATTACTCGTAAACTACACGGAGAGAATTTTCTCTTAAAATTTATCCTGAAAATCGTGCAATCGTGAGACAACATGGCATTTTGAGGAATTTTTATGAGAGTTTTTTAAAATTTTACCATACATTTTACAAGTGATTATAACTAGTATACATTTTACTAGTAAAATATGATAAAATTTCAAAAACTCTGAGAAAGTTGTTCAAAATGCCATGTCGTTCCACGATTACATGATTTTCAGGATAAATTTTAAAAGAATATTCACTCCGTGCAGGAACGTTACCGATTTCGCTCGCAAACGGAGTGATTTTCGAAGTGATTTTCATGTAAATGAGTTTCAGCGATCTCTCTGGGTCGCTGAGCTCTTCATTACTCGCGTGACTCAGGGAGATCTATGATCGCTGTTCGAAGACAGTAATTGGTATCTTTCACCGTCCGTAGGTGGGTCCGTCGTCATCCCCGTCGCAGTCGCAATCGTCGGCCAGTCGACAGTCGGTTACGTTTGGTATTGTCGAGTTCCAGCAGGACGAGGATCACGTTGAAGAGGACCAAGGGTCGCGAAGCGAACGAACGGACATCAGATTTCGCGACGACACGCAGAGCGTCTCTATCGCTGGTTTGTGAAGACAAATTTCTTTTGACGAAGAAACGGCATCGGTAGCCTTCGAATAGCATGCGCGACGCAGAATAGAGAATTCTGTAAAAACCTTTCTAATAAATTGATTTTGTAATCGGAACATAGTTAACTTGTGGCAATTTTCGATTCAAGACGAGATATCCAGGCGAACGAACTCGAGCGGAAGCTCGCAAAACTTGGGGTCGATGGAGAAGTCAGCCGCCGACGGTGAGGAGAACGACAGCGATGAAGATTACTCGGCGTCAGTTTGCGCAATTATGCAACGGCGAAACTCCACACGGCGGCAAAGTCGACGGAAACGACGTCCGTCGTCCCCGTTCGGTGACAACGCTGACGGTGTCGCACGTCGTCGATCCTCGGTTTACACCACGAGCTCGGGAGAGTTAGTATTCTTTCAGAGAGCTAGAGTGGACTCGAGTCCATTGTTTGTGAGAGTTGCCTCGAGTGCGATTTCCTCACCGAAATTGCACAAACTGGAATAAAGTCAATTATAATAAATATAAAGCGATATCTTATAGATCTCGCGGATTGTATAAAGTTTACTCACGCTCTAGTTCTTCATCTAGGAACTAACGATCCTCTTCACGGTAATATAATATCATTGTAGCAAGAGAGATGCGAGTAGCATTCTATGTATACTACAAATGTTATATAAAAAAGTATTACAGGCTTCATTTGTCATTCATACGCGTTTAAGCACTTTCTATGTTACCACTTGGCATATTTTCTTGTCGTAATTTTGAAGTTTGTGTATTTTATCGGGAAGATATATGAAAAAGTAATCACGCATTCTTAACGAGGCAAACACTATTAAAAATATATTCCAGGTGATGAACCGAAGTGGATGCTTTTCTTTACAATCATTCCGTCATAGTATTTTCTTTTCACAGTTCTCTCTAAAAGTCAATCCAGTGGATTATCACTGAAGACAGTGAGTATTCACTGATTCGCAGTCATAATGCACTGATTAACTTTTAGGGACTGTTATCGAAATTCTGTCTTGATCACCGATTGCTACACTTGCCAGTATACTTAAATCTTGGCTGTTAATCAGAGTGTTGAATAATAATAAAATCAATAGCACGATAATTTCCATGGACGAGAGCGGTAACCAGGAGCAGATCTTCGAGAATCTCAAGCTGCACAAAGAGGTTCTAAGCGGTGTAAAGCAGCAGCCTTGGCCTCTTCGACGTAAGATCAAGCTCGTACGGCAAGCGAAAGCTTATATCAGACGACACGAAGGTGCTCTGCAGGAAAGACTCGCTCAAAGTCACAGCACCAAGGACGTCATAGCACGCGTCTCGCTTTTCATAGCTAAGGTAACGATTATGCTGCAAAAATTTAATAAAATTACTTTTAACCAAAATAGAGGAGTATAGGTACTTAAAGTCACCAGTAATGAATAAAAATTGAAACAAAGCTTCTCGTTGATCCAACTGGCAATATAATTAATTTAATTAATTAAACAAAAAGCGTTGTTTCAATTAAAACTTTTAAGGTAACACACCGACTACATAGACGATTGTGACAACTACTGTCTTTCATCTGTTTAGAAGTGGCAGTATTTCCGACGTGAGCTAGTCAATCTGCAAACGTGGCTCATACCTTGGGAGGTCCGTATCATGGAAATAGAATCTCACTTCGGTTCCGCCGTCGCGTCTTATTTCATTTTTCTCCGTTGGCTTTTCTGGATTAACCTCGTCATCGCGGCGACTCTTACGGCTTTTGTCGCGATACCTGAAGTAAGGCGATTTTCTAATCAGTGGGCATGAAACTTGTTTCGCCTGGACAGTTTGTCGACCGCTATATTAGAAAATACTTGACAGAAGAATTGCTTTAACTCTTTGCTAGGTATTGACTGCAAACCCGATTCTTGCCGGCGAGAGGAAGATCATGTTGAAGGAAGAAGCCGCCAAATCAAAGGACCTGTTGACTTTGTGGGAATTCGAGGGTGTGCTAAAATACTCACCGTTTTTCTACGGCTGGTACACCAACCAGGACACGAACAGAAGTTACAGATTACCCCTGGCGTACTTCATTACTAATCTAGTCGTGTACACGTACAGCTTCGTCGCAATCCTGCGCAAGTACCGGCTGGATCTCTTACTGCGTTGCACCTCGCAGCACAGCTTCTTTCACGAACCTTGTGAATTGACAATCGCATTCTACCCAGATTTTTAGATATAAAAATTGGCGAAAGATTGGCACGTCCGAATAAATCATACTATACATTGTTTCTTGAAAGAAGATGTACCGCAAGCGTATTCCTAATTGAATTATGTACACACGCGATGGAATTACATATCTCTTGCAATATGGGAGGCAAGCACGTGAGCGTGGACACTTGGTTTCAGAATGGCGGAGAACTCGCGTTTGAGTAAACTGATCGAAAAGGAAGACGAGTATGTTTTTTCGTGGAAACTCTTCACGGGATGGGACTTCATGATTGGTAATCCGGAAACCGCTCACAATCGTACAGCCAGCATCGCGCTGGGCTTCAAGGAGGCTCTATTGGAGGAAGCGGAGAAGCAAAAGGATGAGAGAAAGTGAGCTCGCCTTCAGCTTGTTAACAATAGTTTAGATTAGAACTTTATGTAAATGCAACGGTAGTTATCTTAGATTTTTAATTTTACATCTTGCAATGTTTGGCCTTCCTATAAAAGAGAGCTTGATTAATTCTGTAGCCCGAAACCGAAAGACTTCTATCGCGCCAAGGAATTGAAGATTAAAATGAAAAGAAGTTGCAAATGGTAAAAAATAAAATACATTGTGATCGATGGATTAAAACTGAAGTCGTATTTTTGTTTCTTTTCAAAAATATTTCTAAAAGCCGCATTGCTTATGGAACGACCCAAAATATGTACCACCTGCTTCGATCGGACATTTTGATCATTCCTGATGGAGACATTGTTTCTCTAACGTTTTACTTTAGAAAGGAAACTGGCTAAGGAACTGAGCTCTATACATATAGCACATCCCCTATATTCATCTATGTTTCACAGCTGGAGAGTCATTTCGATGAGGGTATTCGTGAACGTGGCAGTGCTGTCGTTACTCGCGCTGTCAGCGTACGCCGTGATCAAGGTGGTTGAGCGGAGCGCTACGGAGATTGAGTCTCAAAACTGGTGGCGACAGAACGAGATCACGATTGTGATGTCTCTGATCTCGTACCTCTTCCCGATACTCTTCGAGATCCTTGGCTTCCTCGAGAGCTACCACCCCAGGAAGCAGCTCCGAATACAACTGGCACGGTTGGCAGCTGCTTATTATTCACGATAGAGATACATCACTATGTAACCAAGTACAAGTACATTTGGCTGTTCTTTTGTTTTAGGATAATGGTCTTAAATCTGTTGAATCTTTACTCGCTAATATTCGCATTGTTCCGTAAGATAAACTCTATGGTACGTAATTTGTTATCGTTTGTATCGTTATCGTAAATTAGAATAGTGTAATGAAAAGTATGTCACGCGACATTCACGATTTTATTTATCTATATTTAATATAATTAAATCTTACGGTGCTTACAACGGATGGTGTTTCCTTCGCAGAAACGCGATCTTTACGATCTCAAACCAGCAAACAAGTGTATACGTAAATTGGTACCATGCGGCGACGAGCTGACGCGCACGCAACAAATCGCAACGGTGGCATCTTTGAGCCTTGTTTTAATAAATAATGTCACCCACTCGTATGCTAAGAGAGAAATAGCGGAACCAAGTATTATCTATATTTATATAAAAATACTTCTGAAAGATATATCGTGCTATTTCTCATTCGTTACAAATCTCGAGAAACATTTAAATCACTATGTAATAAGAAACAGTTACCTTAATCAGCATGATTGTTCTCATTTAGCGCTGCCATCCATCAGACAAGAAACCTACTATCTCAATCCTTGGCTGGACGTCGATACTTTGTATAAAGATTTCAATGATACGTATGATTATAACGATTATAACGTGGATTACGGTACACGGTACGAAACTTCGGATACGGACAGCGGTTACGAGTCCTCCACTATGTCTTATTACGAGGAACATGATACCGGGAGAGATAAAATACATTATGACGCAAGCTCAACAGTAACTGCGAATTTTCTGACCGATTCGACGACGGCCGAACATTTCTATACAAGTTCTACTTCATCCCAAAGCGAAACCACGACGGCAACGTTCGAATCAAACGCAATGGAAGGTATATTGCACTTTTTTGCGTCTATACTTTACACCCAATTAATAATCAATAAAATCACTCGTGTTTATTACAACAACTATATTATTATTAACTGATATAATTGTTTGAAAGAGTTTCAATTTTCTTGAAATGTCAGGAATGTACCTACGTATAATTATTTAAAGCTAAACATAATTAAGTAATGATTGTAACTGAAATTGAGTTGACAATAATCTATTATATGTCGCGTGTTCAACGACAACTATCGATTTTCATAATTTTACCGAAAGAATAATAGTTCCTCCATCGTCTTCAGACAGCCAGGCATCATCTGATAGAAAGGTGAGTGTTACGTCTGCGATGGAAGAGGCCACAACAATTGCAACGTATATTCCGGAAAGTGGCATTCCCACTTCAGAATCGAATAAACCTGTAATTCCCATTTCAAGAAACATTTACGTGGATAGATGCTTCGAAAAAGTTTGCACTACTATGCCGTCGCAGAAAAATTTAGGTAAGATATTTGTACCATTTATTTCCAGTTTTTGACTGTAGGTGAATGTGTTTATGTTTTCAGCTAAGTCTTTGGAACAGCTAGACCCGAAGACACGCAGAAAGCTGCGTCGGTCATGCTGGGAAACTATGTTCGGGCAAGAACTCGCCAAGCTCACTGTCATGGATTTGGTAAGATGCAAAACGAAGAAATAGAGAGAAAGCGGTTAAACTTTACCAAGAGTTGAATCAGTAAAAGTTACTTATAGATTTTTTAAACAGAGGAAAGCCCCTTATTATGAGATAGGCTCCTAATAAGAAATGGCGGGGTTTCTATTAAATTAACAGGCATAATCTGTTAATTCCACCATGAATTTATTGACCTTGGAATAAAATCTGTTTAGCGGGAAAATTTATTGTTAGATCGTGTAATCGTTGCGTAAAGAGATTTGTGATTGAATTCGGATGTTGAAAACCTGATATCTCATATTAGAAACCTATCTCGTAACAGAGGACTTCCCTCTACGACTGTTTATTAGATACTCACGATATTAGCCACTCTCAGTATGGATTTCTTTCGCGCTGTTTTCGTGCGATTTATGAATAACTGCTGGTGCTGGGATCTGGAGAAGCAATTTCCGCAATACGGCGACTTCAAGATAGCTGAAAACATCCTCCATTTAGTGAACAATCAGGGCATGGTTTGGATGGGAATGTTCTTCGGTCCTGGTTTAACGGCACTGAACCTCTTCAAACTTGGCATTCTGATGTATTTACGTTCTTGGGCGGTTCTGACGTGCAACGTACCTCACGAAGTAGTTTTCAGAGCTTCCAGGTTATTGAAATAAAATCCATCATTTGCGGGAACCATGTTACACTTTTCCAATTCTTATCCAACAAGTAAAGCGCGCTATTTGTGAATCGTTCCGTTAGTGTCGCATACTTATCTGCGAATTAACAATTATTTAATATTACAGGTCTAATAATTTCTACTTCGCGCTGTTATTGACTATGCTATTTTTGTGCGTGTTACCGGTCGGTTACGCTATAGTCTGGGTCGAGCCTTCGTGGTATTGCGGACCATTTTCTGGCTATCCAAAGATTTATAATTTAGCGACGCACAGTTTGATAAACTCGCTCCCGAAGCTGATTCAAAAGTACGTCTCTGTACTTTTTACAGTAGCGTTTGATATAATGCGATCTAAAATTTAAGTTAGTTTCTTTTGATTATAGTCAAAATAATTATGAATCTTAAATATATACAGTATAATCTATCGAAAACTTTATCTTCGTTTAGATGTCTCGATTACATTGCATCGCCTGGTATAGTGATACCACTGATCGTTCTCATGACGTTGATTATTTATTATATGGCATCTCTCGCTGGATCTTTACGAGAAGCGAATAATGATCTGAAGGTAACGACATACAATATAAATGAACATACGATATATAAAGTTTTACCAAATTGTACAATGTTTTTTTTAAATATTTTATACTTTATTTAAAATATGTTCATAAGTAAAATTTATTGTTATTATTATCGATTGTACATTTATACGTGTAAATGCGTTTTTCCAGATGCAGCTACGACATGAGCGTACGGAAGAACGTCGCAAATTGTTCAAAATAGCGGAGAAGAGGCACACCGTGGCCGAGACTCCGTTATCGAGATGGAAAAAGATTCTGCCGGCATTGCCGCAGGCCAGGATATCTCGAAATGCCGAAACAGTTCAAAGGGACGATGTACGGATCACGATTGGGAATGTGAACGATATAACGGGAAATAAACGATTGACGAACGACATTGAAGAAGATTCGCTTCAAGAGCCGGTATTGTCCGATTGCGAGAACGTGCAGCGAGTTGAAGAACAGGACGATTTGACATTGAACGATACGTCTTCTGGCAGAAGGTACGATAATGATAATTAATGAAGTTCAAACATTTTGTGGCAAGCTTCTCTAGCCTCAAATAAATGTATTTGATCACTATATGTTTGAAAATGTGAAATGTCATGCAGAGTTGGAAAAGTTACTTTATAAAAGTATCTAGTTGCAGTGTTTCTGCTAAAAATGTAACTAGTTACAGTTACAAGTTACCAATTCTGAAAAGTAACAACGTTACAGTTACAGCAACTCAAAAAGTAACGAATCGTTACTTTGCAGTTACTTTCTTGCAATAAAAATAAAAATATCAAATCTGCATTTGAATTGTGAAGTGTCGATAAAGACGTTCATGCAATTGCCTAATGCGATCTGTGGAGGTTTAAACAATATACAGGGTGAGTCTTTGCATATCCGACAAAATTTTTGAGAAGGTAGAACGGATCGAGATGAACGGAAAAGTCCTGTACCATTTTGCAATTTTCGTAATAGTTAACGAGTAATTAATTATTAAAAATCGTTGTCTTAGGCCGGCCTACCGCCCAATTCGAGCGCGTGGCAAGATGTGACCGCCCGGCGGTCTCGCCACGCGCTCGAATTGGGCGGT